AGGAATGGGGGGAGGCTTCGAGCCCGCAGCCAGTTCCAGCCTCGGGTGGGCTGCGAGCGCCCTGCCGTGCCCGTCCCCTGGTGCAGACCTGCCGGTCCCGGGGAGGTTGGGCGGGAAGCCACCTGGGGGCGCCTGTCCCCCAGCGCTGCTCCTGCGGTGTCGTCTGCTCCGGCCTCCGCCCGCGTCCCTGCAAGCACCCGAGGCTCCTAGACTGCCCTGGGCAGGATCTTTCCGCGTCTCTTCGGGATCGCCAGTGACCCGTCGGTTCGGTTCAAAAGAAGGAAGGGCCCCTCATTTTTAAGAAATGAGGCACGTCTGGGGTGGAAGGCGGACAGAATCGACTTGTAAATGAGCATCACCTTGTGGAACGGAGGATTCGTCTCTTGGGAAGTCAGAACTTGAGGCGGGGGGTGGCGCCGTTAGGAAGACCATCTTCCCCCAAACCGCGTTTGGGGTGCTGGGTAGGGGGTGGACTCGCTGGGGCGCGCGGGCGCCTCAGGAGAAAGGCTCTGGCGAGGGGAGGAGCCCGCATCCCGGAAGATTTGGTTTCTTCTTAGACTGCTGCGAGATGTTTTTGTTGGCCAAGAACCTACACATTCCTGCCCCTCCTCTTGGGCCTCCAAAGGGAAGTCGGTGGGTGGCGGTACCGCTACCCTGCGGGCGAGCTTCCGTTAAACAGCAGCATTCCACCAGCTCCTCCAGATTTCCATCCACCGGACGGTGCGGATGACTGGAGACCCGCTGATTCTGCCTGTTAGTGCTCAGGCCCCATAACACTGACCAAATGGACCGCTCCGTCCATTTTATGGATGAGGTAACTGAGGCGCAGAGAGAAGTAACCTACCCACAGGGGCCAGCTAAGTAACAAACCCAGGATTTCCTGGCTCCAAATCCCACTGCCTCCTGCCTTTCCCTAACAGGAGAAACCCCGCCGACAGGCCGCCCTCCCAAACCCCTTTTAGCCAGGACCCAGCTACCGGGATGGGGCAGGGAATGGGGTGGAGCAAGTTCCTCCTCATTGTTCAGGGGCATATCTTGAATCTTGACCAGGCAGCCTCCTGGGACAGGCAGCAAGGATGGTGGGACCAGGTGTGGTCTCTCTCCGCAGTCCTTTGGGGACAAAGACTTGGACAGAAGGAATCAGTATCCAGAATTGAGTGCTAAATTAAGAGGTGCAAAAGCTGTCTGCAGGGTTAACTTCAGCAGGGCAGGAGGAGGACTTTGTCCTGGGCTGAGGGGCGGGGACATGGTAGCAAGGTGTGCAGAACTCAGCTGTCAGAGGAGGAGGAGGAGGGTGCTGGTGGGGGCGGGGCAGGAGGTGCCTGAAACCAAGCAGCTGTACTTGGTGGCCACAGGCTCCCTCTGAGTGAGGGGTGCTGGGCTGGTGTGGTAATAGTCCCTGACACTTCGGGGCACTTAGCCACGTTCCAGGGACTGTTCCAAGCACTTCAGGGTGATAACTGTTCATCCCCACAACAACCATAGGAGGTAGGTACTATAATCTCCATTTATAGGTGAGGAAACCAAGAGACAGAATGAATAGCTTGCCAGAGGTCAAACATCTGAAAAGCAAGCTCTGGCTCATGCAGGCAGGGGTGGCCCAGGTGGGGCACCTGGAGAGGAACAGAGGCAGGCCCACTCATTAGGAGGCTGTTGATGAAATGTCAGGATGTTGATGATGATGATGGAGATGATGGAGATGATGGAGATGATGAAGGCCTGACTTGAGCCTGGGCAGAGCAGGTCGTGAGGACAGAGTAAATATGGGAGATGCACTGGGGATGTGGGGAATGAGTAGGGAGGAGCCCAAGGTGTCTGCTCGGGGTGCTATTAGTTGAGGCAAGCAGTGAGGCCCTGGGTTCCAGGGGAGAACAAGACCATGGCATTTGACTCAGTAGCCCAGTTGCCAAGCGACACTGTTCTACAGCTCACTAGAAATCATGGGTTACTGATGGAAAAGGGAAACTTTTCTTTAGTGGAGGAAGTCAAGGCCCTGAGAGATTTAGGTGATTGCCCAAAGACACACAGCTGGGGACTGGCGGGGGGGGGGGGGGGGGGGCCCCCCCCCCC